GATAACTATCTCATACTTAGCTATCTCATAATTATGAGATAATATCTCATAATTATGACTTATCTATCTCATAATTATGAGATAGCTATCTCATACTTAGCTATCTCATTATTATGAGATAACTATCTCATACTTAGCTATCTCATAATTATGAGATAATATCTCATAATTATGATTTATCTATCTCATAATTATGAGATAACTATCTCATAATTGTGACCTAGCTATGAGATAGCTAAGTCATAATTATGAGATAGTATCTCATAATTATGAGAAAGTATCTCATAATTATGAGATAGCTAAGTATGAGATAGCTATCTCATAATTATGAGATAGATAAATCATAATTATGAGATATTATCTCATAATTATGAGATAGCTAAGTATGAGATAGCTATCTCATAATTATGAGATAGATAAATCATAATTATGAGATACAAGTTTCATAAAAAAATTTTTATCAGGGTGGCGGAAATGTCTTCCATACAGATCAGGACTTTAAGCACTGTGTCTTATTATTTATATTATTTATTACTGTGTTATGATGCACTGAGAGGCTGTGAATCAACAACTCTTTTCCTCTCCAGTTGTATTTTCATATTTTAAAAGCAGAATCAGTTCTTGCTGCAGACCTGCTCTGCTCAGCTGATTTTCTGCTCGCGCGCATGCGCAGTCCAGTCCTCGCTCAGAGTTTGTGCTGTGCAGACCTGCAGAAGCTCCAGAGGTAAACAATCCCTCATATCATCCATTTACATATTTATTATTTACCTTTCTGTATGACGGGTAGTTTTATGAAGGGCTCTCTGTGTAGAAAAGCTCCGTCAGCGACAGGAAGTGGGTTCGGCGGMGCGGCTTTCATTGTGACTTTTAGACTGAGCTAGCTCAGTTAGCACAGTTAGCTTGTGCATTAACTGTCAATGGAGAATCAACTCCGCTCAGCTTCACGAGCTAAATGAGAGGTTTTAAACATTTAGGTTTAKGTGTAACGGCGGTTTGTGTGTATCTAACTGTAGATACGTGTTGCTGTCGGACTGTATCGGTGTTTTTATGCTGAACGGAGGTAGCTTTAGCATGTTAGCCGCTGTCAAATACCTGAGAGGCGGGGCTTGTTTTAGAGCGACAGCTGCGTCAGCCAATCAGCTGTTCTCAAAGAAGAAGAAGATGCAACGAAAAATGGTTTGGAGTAGGTTCACTACTTTAAAATATAATATCAAGGACTTTAAATAACTTTGTTATTCCCAAATTTAATCAATATGTATATATTAGCAAGTGGTGGACCGGGGTCAGATGTGGGCGGAGTTAAATAGCGCCATCTACTGGATAAATGTGAGAACTACAACTGATTAATATCTAACGGAAGTAATTAACTTTGTCAAATCAGCATAAATACGTCTGTGTTTTATTCTACAATAAATACAGAAATATAAATGTATATAAATATAAATAAATGTATGAAGTAGTTAAAATGTTGGTCTTTGTTATGTATAATGTCCTATAACTAGTTGTGTTAATGGTTATAATAAAGTAATCAAACAGGAAGTGTTGCACGTTCTTCCTGACAGATGAAGACTCCACCTGACAGGTCAGGGATCATCTTTGAGGTCGGAGGTCAGCTGGAAGCTCGAGATAGACAGAAGAACTGGTTGGTACCACACACAAACACAAACAACTCTTTGTTAAACGTGTTGAAGGATTTTTGTATTTGATCTTCCTAAAGTGTTTTATCTAAAAGCATTAAAGGTAAACATTTGTGTCAGTGTCTTTGTTGAAGTAGAAAAGTTCTGATGTTTTTTATTTTTCATTAAATAACGACTGTAAAAATACTGTAGGCTGTTTAGTTTCTATAATTTATAAAAAATATATTTTAACACGGACGGAGCCATTT